CCAAAAATTCCTCTTCTAACTGAACATATCCCCAGCAACATGAACATAGGGTATGCGCAAAGGGGGTAAACACAAGAATAAGAAGAAGTAAAGTAGAAGAAGAAGAAGCAAAAAAAGAGAAGAAACGAATCCCTTATGTGTTACTGAGACTCAATTGGCCCGCGTGCGAGCGCGGGGGACCTCTTACAGACTCGACTGGCTGCCAATGTGTGAATTACGAGTGTATTTTGTAGCGTCTGAGATTTTTAGCCAGCTTTAAAGCCAAAAGAGCTAGAAACGGCTGAAAACACACACAAAAATCAACATCAATTTGAGCTAAAATAAAAAGTCGAATCTAATTTGCTTTGCGAAACAATTGATTGACTACACGAATCTCAACCGAAATCCAATAAAAATCACGCTAAAAACAAGTAGGAGAATCCAATGACTAACAAGCCAAAAGAAGGAAAAATCCGCAAAGAAGTTTCCCAAGGAGCAACGCAAAGTTGGGGCTAAAAATCTTAATTTTCCACAACAGAGAAACGTGACAAATTTTCGCTGGTCAACGCATTTCCCAAAACTGTTTCAAAACTTTACACACGCTCAAGGCTGTGTGTGTATGTGTGGTTGTTGTAGGTCGATTGTTTGTTGCCAGCCTTTTTTTGCCTTTTTGTTTCTGGTCTTTTGGGTTAGCCCCAACAACCAATTTTCTTTGTGTATTTGCAGCCTCCATTTTATGTTGCTTCCTTGTCCTTTGTCTTCGCTTTCAGTTAACTCAAGTGTACACTTGGCCAGAAAGTGTCTTAAGCAGCCAATATGTTAGTTGTTAGCATGTTAATTTTATGGACAAGCTACTCCTTTAAGCCAATTAGTAGCTGACTTTTGTCCATGACAATTGATGGCCGAGTGAGAAAGTTGTCGATTGTCCGATGATGGAGAGAGGCTGGGAAGGGACTTGAGTTTTTTACTGTGGGAATGGGTTGGGAATAGATCAATACAATGATAGCCAGGGGCGTGGAAGAGGAAGCTTCTTATGCTGAAGCTGATCGAACAACTCTCGTATAGGTTAACAGATTTCCCATATATTATCTAAGATTTACTTTAGCTGTAAGATAATACTAAACATCTTTTGAACAGTTTTTCTTAAGCGGAATTCTCTAACTTTAAATTCGTTTTGAGCTACATAAGTTTCTATTTTACTAATTGAATTCTAGAATCCTGAGTTCAACTGGAAAAAAGATGGATTTTTTTAAAAGAATAAATCATTTACAGTTAAAACTTAACAGAAAGTTGAAGCTAATGCTTGAGTTTCATATTATGTTCATATTATGTTCTACTCCCTCATATATGTAGACAGTCTATAGAGGAAATTAATAGTATCCAACTCAACTCAACAATTAACTGTTAATCATTTTCCTTTGCCCTCCCATCACATTACGAGCCTCTTTTATTAATTCCCACTAAAGCCTTTACATTCATTCGTCATTCAAATTGTTATCTGATGGACTATGGAGAAAACATGTTCCCCAACCATATTAAATGCCAGCTCAATTTCAGCTGGAAATCAAAGTCTATATTAGTCAAGGTTTCATTAAAATGGACGGCATTGTCGTGTATGTAATCAACTGGACCCTCGCACGATTAAACATTTCCTCGAGTGCCAAACAAAAACTGCCAGCCGCATTGGCCAAAAATGTCATTTCATCTAAATGCACCTTTTTTCCTTTTGTCAGTTTTCTCATTTGATTTATTGTATGGCCAAAAGTATTTGCGGTCTCTGTTCCAGAGTGTGTGCGTGTGTAGGGTATATGAAATGTAAATGTCTGGCTGATTTGTTTAAACAAACGTATGTGTGTGTGTGTGTGTGTGTGTGTGTGTGTGTGTGTGTGTGTGTGTGTGTGTGTGT